TATATAACGCCTCACACGGAGCCATCCGAATACTCGATTGATAACTGTTGTTATAAGAAAACTCGGCGAGTGGCAAATACTGGTCCAATGAACCCCTAAAGTCAATGACACAAGTGTGCAACATGTCCTCCAATATATGAATAGTGTGCTTGGAATGTCCGTCCATCTGAGGTGAAAGGTTGTGCTCAACTCAACCTAAGTACCCAACTCTCACTGCACAGCCCTCCAAAACTGCAATGTAAACTAAGTGTCTCTATCTGAAATGATGGAAACTGGGACACCATGCAGGCAAACAATCTCTTGAATATAAATCTTAGCCAGTCGCTCCGAAAAATAGGTAGTACTCATAGGAATGAAGTGTGGGGACTTGGTCAACCGATCCACAATCGCACAAATAGCATCGAACTTCCTCAAAGTTCGTGGGAGTCCAACTACGAAATCCATGGTGATCCACTCCCACTTCCACTCTTGAATCTCTATCTGTTGGAGCAAGCCACCCGGTCTCTGATGCTCATATTTCACCTGCTGACAGCTGAGACACTGAGCTCAAACCCAACTATATCTTTCTTCATCATCCTCTAACAATAGTGTTGTCTCAAATCCTGGTACATCTTCGCGGCACCCGGATGGATAGAATACCGGGAGTTGTGGGCCTCCTCTAGAATCAACTCCCGAAGCCCATCTATATTAGGCACACATATTCGGCCATGCATTCTCAATACCCCGTTATCAACAATGGTCATATCTCTGGCATCACTGAGTTGAACTCTATCCTCGATGACTAATAAATGAGGATCATCATGTTGGCACTCTCTGATGCGATCAAATAGGGATGACCGAGAAACCACAAAAGCTAGGACCCGACTGGGCTCCGAAATATCCAATCTCACGAACCGATTGGCCAAGGCTTGAAGGCCTCTCCCCAATAGGAAGGAATGCAAGACTACTCATACTCACTACCTTCCTACTCAAGGCATCGGACACCACATTGGCCTTTCCCGGATGGTACAAAATGGTAATATCATAATCCTTTAGCAGCTCCAACCAACTCCTGTGCCGAAAATTGAGATCCTTTTGCTTGAACAAGTGCTAGAGGCTGCAATGATCGGTAAACACCTCACAAGATACCTCCAGCAGAATCTGAAGAATGGCCATTGAAATCCATCATGTTAAAGCATTCTTGAATCTCATTATTCCATTTCATTAATTGATCCTAGATTCTTCTTCTTTTCCAATACTAGCATTTATTTTAATTCCCTGCTCTAACTGTATCGGCTCTTGTTGTTGTTGCTTTGAACAAGATATTGAAGTGGTAGTATTGTGTTGTTGAATTGATGTGTAATCAGCAAATGAGAAATTAAGTTTAGCTCTAGGACCTCTAAATTCAATTGCAGCTTTATCATAAGCCTGAGCTGCATCCTCTGCTGTATTAAAAGTTCCAAGCCATACTCTAGCTGCCCTTCTTGGATATCTAATTTTCACCACCATGATCATTATTCAACAAATTATGATATTTATTGGTTTCCCGATGATAACAGAAATCTCATTTGTTACTTTTAGTTAATGTACAAATCATAACTGCTATTACTAAGAAAATTGAATTGCAAATCTAACAATTAAAAATACTCATTACTACATAATTCTTAGCAAATACAATAAGCATATATTCTTAGTGCATATTTTAAGAAATAAGTATTTTACAAGCCTAAAACCGAAAAATCAAACCGAAAATAACCGCACCAAACTGCAAGAAAACCGAACCGCACCAAAAATATTTTGGTTCGGTTTTGGTTATTAAAATCGCAAACCGAACCAAACATCTACAAAATCGAACCGAATTGACCGACGCCCACCCCTACTCTACCCTCCTGCATAAAATAACACCCAATGTCGACCCGAGAAGCATCACAATATACTATACAAGAAGCTGAAGCTAATGGCAAAACTAACACTGGAGTTGTGGTCAAAGCAGTCTTAAGCTTCTGAAAGCTCGTCTCACACTCGTCCGACCACCTGAAAGGTGCACCCTTTTGGGCCAATTTAGTCAAAGGTGATGCAATTGAAGAGAAACCCTACACAAACCGACGGTAATAGCCCGAACCAAGAAAGATACGAATCTCTGTGGCTGAGGTCGGTCTTGGGACAAATCTGGACCACCTCTATATTCTTTGGATCAACCTTAATACCCTCACTAGACACCACGTGCCCCAAAAATGCCACTGATTTGATCCAAAACTCACACTTGGAGAACTTAGCATAAAGTTTCTCCTCTCTCAACTGTTGCAACATAATTCGCAAATACCGGCATGCTCCTCTTGGCTACGAGAGTACCTCATGATATCATCAATCAATACAATAACAAACGAGTCGAGATAGGGGTGGAACACGCTATTCATCAAATGCATGAACGTTGCGGGGGCATTGGTCAGCCCAAAACATATCACAAGGAATTCATAATGACCCTATCGGGTCCTGAAAGCTGTCTTAAGAATGTCTGAGTCCTTAATCTTCAGCTGGTGATACCCTGACCTGAGATCAATCTTGCAAAACACCCTCGCTCCCTAAAGCTGGTCAAATAGATTATCAATGCGTGGCAAAGGATACATGTTCTTGATTGTGACTTTGTTCAACTGCCTGTAATTAATGCACATTCTCATAGTGTCATCCTTCTTCTTCACAAATAGAATTGGTACACCCCAAGGTGACACACTAGCCCGAATAAACCCCTTATCAAGGAGTTCCTGAAGTTGCTCCTTTAATTCCTTTAACTCTACTGGTGCCATATGATCTGGTGGAATAGAAATGGGCTGGGTGCTCGGTACCAAATCAATACCAAAGTCAATATCCCTATCCGGAAGCATGCCTGGCAAGTCTGCAGGAAACAGATCTGAAAAGTCCCTCACCATCTGAACTGAATCAATAGTAGAAGTCTCTGCACTGACATCCCTCACAAAGGCCAAATAAGAAAGGCACCCCTTCCCAACCATTCATTGGTCCTTCAAGAATGAAATCACTCTACTGGGAACATAGTCCAATGAACCTCACCACTCGATGAATGGCAACCCCGGCATAGCCAACATCACAGTCTTAAAGTGACAGTCCAGAATAGCATGGCACGGAGACAGCCAATCCATGCCCAATATCACATCAAAATCAACCATAGTGAGCAACATAAGGTCTATTAGGGTCTCTGAACCCCCAATAGTCACCACACAAAACCAATATATGCGATCCACAATAATAGTTTTGCCCACAGGAGTAGATACATGAATAGATAAAACAAGTGACTCGTGGGGCGTATCCAAATGATGAGCAAAATATGATGACACATATGAAAAAGTGGAACAAGGATCAAATAATATAGAGTCATCCCTACGGCAAACTGAAATAATATATGTGATCACAGCATCTGAAGCAATATCATCTAGTATGGCTGGGAGTGCATAAAAAAGGGCCTGACCACCACCTGATCGACTTCCCCCTCTAGGGCAACCCCTAGCTGACTAACCTCCACCCTTAGCTGACTAGGTTTGTGGGGAAGTAGCTAGTGCTGAAGTCGATGGCTGACTCCTCTACTGAGGCATAAACCCATGACGACGAGGACACTGCCTCCACATATGCCCAAACTCCCCACACTCAAAACAACCCCCTAGAGCTGGTGATGGGGACTGAAGGGAACCCCTAGCACCAGGATAACTGGTGGAAGAACTTGGCATGGAGGAGCCCTGAACTGATGGCGCATGGGACGAACTTTGGGCTGGGAGGGCACTAAGTGATGAGTGGCCCTGATGAGTGTTGATACCCAATTTTTTCCTATGTATTTTTACATACAAAATACTTTCGAAATAGCATGTAAATACATATATAAGCATGCCCAAGAGTTTTGGTATTTTTTCTAATTTTAAGATTTTAAAATCAATTTATTGTCTATTTTTAGCAGTACAAAATCCAATAATTATTCCCAAGATTATCATTTTGGTGAATAACTTATTTTATTCTCATATTTACACCAAAATATAATTAAGGTGATTTTTGTATATTTTTTACAAATCTATTTGGTATTTTTAAGCTAAATTGCATGTAATTGCAATTATAGCTTATTTCACGATTAGTAGCATTTTATAATTGTAAAATTATTTTCAGTATTTTTAAATAAATATTTATATAGTATTTGTTGGCTCAGTGTTTTAATTTACTTTTAAAATTATTATTACTATTTTTATAAAATAAAAAGGAAAAATAGGCTATTTAACACTAAGCCCATTTCTATTTCAATTATAGCCATTTCACCTTTCAAATTGGCCCTCAATTTGAGCCAATGCCGCCCCCAAATTAAACTAGCCCAATACCCCAAATTACCCGACCCCTAACCCGATTTAAAAACCCACCCGGCTCTACTTTGATCCAGCCCGTTGATCATTTTGATCAACGGCCATAAGCTCCCCTTACCTTTTTTAATTCCCAAACCACCCTTAACCTAATTCATTTCATCGAGACACTGCCTTTGAACCCTCTTCATCTCTCAAACTCTCTCGAAACTCTCCGAAACCCTAATCGTTTCCCACATTATCTCACCATGTTTCCACCGGAATCCATGGCGTCTCCGGCCATGGACGGTCTGTACTCATCCTTTCTCACCATCAGACCTAAGCTATTCAAGGTTTGAAGCCCGACTTCAATGGCCTTTTTCAGATCCTTCTCAGATCTGTAGATCTATGGCTTCTCCGGCCATTATTCTGGCATGTTCAAGCAATATGAGTCTTTTCGATTCAGGATCTGACTTTCCTCAAGACCTTTCTCATTGCTGGGGTTTTCTCTGCAACTCTAAGTCGTCTGAGGTTCTGTACCTACCTATTTTCTTAGATCTGTGATATGTCTAGGCTTTATTTGACATTTTAAAGGTTTTCCCCAAATTTCCTTTTTAAAATCGTTCAATTTCGATTTTAAGGTTTCTGAAAAAGTTTCTTCAAATATCTTTCTGATTCTTTCCGTTCTTTCTTTATGTGTGTTTATCTATGCTAGGCTTGTATGTTTTCTTTTCTACTATGCATGAGTTTGCTCTCTTGTTTCTTTTCTATTATGCGAGACTCTTCTATTTTTGTTGTCACTCTTATGCTCCCATGTTAATCCATGTTGTTAATCCTTATTCTTTGCTATATATGTTTATAGTTGAGTTCTTTGATTTTGTTCACTTTACTGATTTCTGTTTGTGTTCTTGCTAAGCATATTTCATCTACTTTTGTTTAAAGTTCGTATCATCTCTTTCTTCTGAACTTGTTTAAACTCCAAGTTTTCTCGAGCATGTTCTCATGACATTGAATCAGTGTTCTTTCTATCGTGTGTGTTTGTCTCTCATAAGTCTTTGGAAAAGACTTCTGAGCCCCTCTCAAGTGGCCTGCCTTCTCATCTCCATTGTCTGACTCAATTTGAAACCCTAGGCTTTGGGGGTTTCTTTGTCAAGTGGTATTAGGGACCCTAGGCTTTCAGACTCACTATGAGTCTGTAACTGAACTCGAATCCCTTTGCTTATGGCTCTAAGACTTTCAATGTTAGACTCTTTTCTAAGAAACTTGACGATTCCTTTTGCTTGATCTGTGTGCTTTATGTTTTTGCTTGTTTTCCCCTGAAACTGGTATGTTCTGATTTAACGTTTTTGCCTCACCCCTATGTGCTTATTTACAGTCTTCTGCAATCCTGTTTACGTTACTGCTCAGGTTCAATGATTTATGCTAAGTATGTTTTTTCCCTGCACCCGTTTCTATTGTGAATCCCTACCCCTATTCCCTTCTATGTGTTTGAGTTAAGGCTCATGGCCTGGCAGTATTAAAATTGCTGCTCAGGTCATAACCTGATCCATAATGGATCCTAACTCTTAAGATTTGGCTAACAGGCTGGTCGGGGGTGTGCCAGCATTCCCAATTGTTGAGCATGACCACCAGCCTGCCATGGCTTTCCCCTAATTCCCCTATGCACTTAAACATTCTTAAGTTCTGCCCCCCTCTTATGAGCCTTGCTTTGGGACCTTGATCTCCCTCTGAACTTGGACATCTGAGGGTTGGCCCTTCCACACTGCACTATGATCTCAATTCTGCAATGTGTTTGGGGTGTAAGCACTGCCCGGGGCCCTTTGAGACTCTTGGGAACTTTGACACATCCCAAACATGAGAAAGGCTTTTGGAAATCTAATCCTGGAAGTTGGTTTATCTCATATTGTTGGACTTTGAGTCTGAATTAGGCTATTTGGTTGTAGCTAGAATTTCTGATGTAATTTTACTTTTTTTTCTAATTCATTCGGGTCTGTAATAATTTGTAATAACTATTGGGTTTGGCTAGAGAAAAGAAGAGGGTCATTTATGTATGCATATGGGTAGACAGCATGATCATAAGGATTACTATTTACAAATTCTGCATTTATGCATATCATATAGTACTCCTGCCTATAAGTCATCTAATTATTATATTAGAAACCATGCCTATAAGTTTCTGCA